GACTTCCAGTTATCTCTAGCTATCCTCTATCTATATGTGTGATGTGTGTCAATGTATCTACGTATGTTTTGTATTTGGAAGAGCATAGCAAACATTCTTTTGACTATTGCATAACAATAACGATATTCATAATAAGTGGTATCTTATGTGACATAATTTTAATAATTCAAAAAATGAATAATTTTTAAAAATATTTTGCTCCGTATGATGATTACAGTAGTCATCGACTATGAATAAAATTAATCATACCAAAAACATGTCCAAATTAAGTGTATATTATCCAAATTTGCTACTAGTGGGCATTCCAAGTTGTTACACGATTCACTTTATTGGTGTCAAATGCATTAATTATTGGGCTGCTGAGGGGCAGCCGTTTAACGCCATGCTATAAGCTAGGGCTTAAGCGATTTGAATTCGTCAGTTTTTGCCGTATTTTCATATCAAAGGAAAGAATGAATTGTTCCAATAGTCATCGAACTTAGATCCATATCTTTGATTGGTCACTGAAATTTAAAATGTTAGATTTTGGTTACTAAATTTAGGTCCATATCTTTGATTAGTCACTAAAATTTAAAATGTCGAGTTTTAGCCCCGAATTTTGAAAAATATTGTACGTTACTCACTAGCATAAATGTTGAATTTTAAAAAATGTCGAGTTTATAGTGAGTAATGTACAACATTTTTCAAAGTGCAGTAGCCAAAACTCAACTTCTTAAATTTCAGTAAGCAATCAAGATATAGGCCTAAATTTGTTGACCAAACCTCGACATTTTAAACTTTAGTCACGAATTAAAAATATTGATCTAAGTTCAGTGACTATTGGAATAATAAACTCCAAAGGAAAACGATTTGAGGTTAAAAGAAAAAAAAAGAAAAAAAAATCTAATTCTAATAATTTCAAATGGTTTGAGAAAAATCAAACCTAAACTAAATGGTTTGATAGGATTTTAAATTGTGTTTCGTCATATTTTCCCCAATTCGTTTTATCATCATTAGTTTATAGATTATAAAATTATTTTTCTACTTTATAATCGATGAAATAAGATATTATATATTGTAACTTAGAAGTCTGATCCATCAATTTGGACCAATTTCTATCAAAAATTTAAAATTTTTTTTTTTACATTAGTGTATTCTTTGTTATTTTATTTTTAATCATTTGGTTAGGTCTCAAATTGCATATAAAACCTCATTTTTAACCACATATTCTCTCAATCAAATAATTTAATATATAAAACTAAAATTTTACCTACTTTTTAATATCACATTCTCTTAAAAAAAAAAAAATTACTATTACTAAACCTTTATTTATTTTTTTTTATTATTATTTCTTTTTTTTCTTTTTTTCTTTTTTTAACAAAAAATGAAGCACAAACAGAAGCAAAATATCTAAACCTTACAGCGGTACGACTTGGTTCAAGATCGTTCCATTTTTCGAATAGATGGCTTCAATTTGACTTTCGATTCATCAATTTTTACTTAGAACCTACTTTTTAGTGTAAAATCGAAGTTGAGCTAAACATCATAGTGTAATTATTAAAAACCCCATAAATGAATCGTTTTTGTCTACCACTTCTCTGGAAAACATATATAAAGCTGTAGCAACAGAATCTTTTATTTTATATCAATTTCTACCAACATTATTCGATCCAACTACGGAGTTACAAGAGTTGTTTAACAATCTCATAATTTATTCATACAATAGCAGGGATTTATTGAAAATGCCTCAATCAATTAGTTGAGCTGAAAATTTGTAGCAATTAGATAAGTGACCCTTAAAAAACCAGCAGGAACTGTTTTCACGAACTGTAATGTCGAAACAAGGCGTCCAACTGATGGCAGATTTGCATTGCAGTTGGATAGAGGTGTGTCGACTGCTAGTTTGCAAGAAGACAATATTGCATTCAGTGTTGCATTCCGGCTAGGTATCACTATTACGTCGTACCTTCCAGCTACATTTGTGGTTACGTTCGTCGAAAACACCAGGTTCGCAGGCTCGCATTCAAGCTGCACGGTAGCATCTGTACAAAATTCACCCAACCGATCTTAGTATCATATATAATATTTGTCCATCTATCCCTACTATAAGAGACTACACAATATGTTAAGAATTAGAAATATTAAATCTATTTCATTGAAAGCAATCAATTTGCAGAGAGCGAGACATTCAAGAACATGCAATATTTATGGATATTCGTCTCAATATGAAACTACATCATTTTCTGTTACTGTATGTTCACTACGAAGAAAAAATCTACAAGAGAAATCACAATTTGTCTTCTCTAACTCGTCTCTCATTTTTTGATGATAATATATAAGCATAATTAGAGCTCTATATTTATAAGATAAATTAGGACAAATTCTAAATTTATAAGGACACAAATTTCTAAACTAATTATCGATCTTACATGGAGTTCGATTCACGTGCTGGATGCATATAGTCTTACAATGACAATAATTAAACTCTATAACTAAACACAATAGAGATTTTTTATTGAAAAATTAATGCAACTTACTAGAAAAAGGAGGGGTTGCAGGGCCATTGGCACCACCATTGATGGTGCAATACAGGGTTCCATTGACATGTACTATGCCAAGTGGATTTTGAGCTTCTGCAATTGAAGTTGCCATTATAGCAACAAACAGAAAAATTAACAGAGATTTTAGTTCCATTATTTAGAAAATATTTGAAAAATGAAGCTGCGAATCGACTTGCGATTGCGTCCTAAAGTTGCAATGTTGTTTTGCAAATCAAAGGATTGTGAGCGTGGCCAATTTATAAGGAGGATTTTGTGTCCTTTTCCGACGATAATCCAAATTCTTGCTGTATCAATGGTGACTATAACATTTGACCACTAAAGTCAGACGTCAAGAGAGAATTCTTCTCTGTCTATGCGTGTGTATTTAATTAAAATTGTCTATAAATTGTATGCCATCCTCAACTATTCAAGGCAATTGGATTTGAGACAACAAATATTCAACGGATTGAATTTGAAATATGAGGGCAATTGGCTTCCTATAGAATTAGTTACCTAGTGCATATATGAGGATTAGAAAATGCTAATAGTACATAATTTTCTTTACATAAGAGTATCCACCCTCTCACATGAAGGTGAATCCCACATGAATAAAATATTCGAGTGGACCCCACATGAGAAGGAGGACACCTTTGTGTACATATAATTATGTACCAATAGCATCTCTCGTGAGGATTCTTTGAAGGGGAAATCGCACTTGAATAATCCCTAGACAACCAGGGGGTTATGTGGCACAGCACCTCCTATTGGTCAACAACATTTGAAATTACATCATCTTCTGTTGCTGTATAATTCACTATGAAGAAAAAATCTACAAGAGAAATCACACTCTATCTTCTCTAACTTGCCTCTCATTTTTTTATGATAATATATAAATATAATTAGAGCTCTATATTTATAAGATAAATTAGGACAAATTCTAAATTTATAAGGACACAAATATCTAAACTAATTATCAATCTTACATGTAGTTTGAAAAATTAATGCAACTTACTAGAAAAAGGAGGGATTGCAGGGCCATTGGCACCACCATTGACGGTGCAATACAGGGTTCCATTGACATGTACTATGCCAAGTGGATTTTGAGCTTCTGCAATTGAAGTTGCCATTATAGCAACAAACAGAAAAATTAACAGAGATTTTAGTTCCATTATTTAGAAAATATTTGAAAAATGAAGCTGCGAATCGACTTGCGATTGCGTCCTAAAGTTGCAATGTTGTTTTGCAAATCAAAGGATTGTGAGCGTGGCCAATTTATAAGGAGGATTTTGTGTCCTTTTCCGACGATAATCCAAATTCTTGCTGTATCAATGGTGACTATAACATTTGACCACTAAAGTCAGACGTCAAGAGAGAATTCTTCTCTGTCTATGCGTGTGTATTTAATTAAAATTGTCTATAAATTGTATGCCATCCTCAACTATTCAAGGCAATTGGATTTGAGACAACAAATATTCAACGGATTGAATTTGAAATATGAGGGCAATTGGCTTCCTATAGAATTAGTTACCTAGTGCATATATGAGGATTAGAAAATGCTAATAGTACATAATTTTCTTTACATAAGAGTATCCACCCTCTCACATGAAGGTGAATCCCACATGAATAAAATATTCGAGTGGACCCCACATGAGAAGGAGGACACCTTTGTGTACATATAATTATGTACCAATAGCATCTCTCGTGAGGATTCTTTGAAGGGGAAATCGCACTTGAATAATCCCTAGACAACCAGGGGGTTATGTGGCACAGCACCTCCTATTGGTCAACAACATTTAAGTCAAAGAATATGGATTTAAATTACTTATTTGGATTTATCTTTATCTTTCATTTCGATCGTATTTAAAAGGTTGAACCCCAACTTTAAAGGTCCCCCACCGCTCCTGCCCTGGAGTATCGTGAGGGAAGCAAATCGCAGGTTATGCCTCCAAGATAACAGGGTGGAAGGCTGCTTGTACACTTGCACTTACCCAAGAGCCAAATTCATATTTCAGGATTCGAACCCTTGACGCAGTAGCCTCAAGTAAAGCTGGATTTCTCCACCCTCCCTTTTTACCACTTGGAGATGTGTCATGGGGGCCTCATTTCGATCGTATTTGATCGTGAAAAGTGACTGATGGAGGAGAAAGACGTGGTGGTTTTCGTGTGGTATTTAGTTTTGAAAAAATTAGATGTTAGTTAACAAGGATTTGCACACTCGATCTAAAAGTATTTGTATAATGCGTGAGTTACACTTTCTTAAAACAATTACATAAGAGTACTGTAAGTTAATCATTGTATATATTAAAAAATAAAAAATAACATAACCTGTAAGTTTAATAATTAACAAATTAAAAATGTATGATTAATAGACAATTTGTATCATGAATTATACACAAAAACCAATGAGTGTAATACGATCATTGCAAGGTTTGAAAGTTACAATTTGATATATATACACAATATAAAAAAATTTAAACACATATCACGCGCTGAGACACATGCACAAATTATGCACATACTCTTCAAAATGAAAATTCTTTGGGCCCAATTATTTGTTTGATAAGGATTTTGATAATTGATTTTTTGATCGTTAGAGATAAAGTGAGTCCTACCTGTGAAAGAAGAATTCAAAACTGACGGCTGGAATAATGAAACAACGGTCAAAAAGTTGATTTTAATTGGCTTAAAATCTGTACCAAAAAACCTCTAGAACTCAAATGGGTATGGTTTTTTAAATTTGGAGAGTCAAACCTCCCATCTATTTTTACTTTATAATAAGTTACCTAATCTAATAATCTAATTTGCAAATTTTTCGAACCTGCAACTTTTCGAATCACATTTGAATTGATTGATCATTGACATATTAAAAAAAAAGTATGTTAAATAAATAATGATTATAAATCAATAAATGTTTCTTGAAAAAAATAAAATAAAGATTCAAAATGGAAAGTGTTGTGTGTGGTCATACTTGGCCAATCCACCTGAGCCATTATGGCTTACTCAGGCCGAACCACGTGGCACTCCAGCCGAGATGGCATAGATTGCCGAGGTGGGCAATAGTTGAAGTCCACTAGCCTAGGCGCCTTTTTACCGAGGCCTGTGAACGTACCTGAGGTCCACATGCCGAAGCTCATGAACCGAAGCTATGATGCTAAAGCTAGTTGAAGATAGCTAAGGCCCTCAAGCAGAAGTATCGTGTGAAATGGCCGAAGCCCCGAAGCAGATGCAGGAGCCTCCAAGCCACAAGGGAGTGTCCTCCATGTTCACTTCTCCCAAGAGATCGTCTGCATAAAGATCTTATTCGAATGATCGATGGAACGTTTGTCATAAGTATAAAGGTCAAGTCTTGTCACTAGTATGGAGGCCCTGCACAAAGCAATAAATGCGTAGCAAGCTAGCAAAACAAGCCCCATGCCTAGGATGGGATGTTTGAATTAAAGAGATGAGGCCACGTGCCACTTCATCAAAGGGCTCCCATTTCACATGTATCACTATAAATACTTCCCTTGTGTAATATCAAAAGGCTAATGCAAGAATCAATACAAAGAACTATACTTTACTCAGCTCTCTCTCACTTACTTGCAATACACAAATCGAGTTTATACACATTTACATGCACATTTACGAACACCGGTTGGTAATTATTGTACAATCGGATCACGAACAACTCGTCGGATTCCGAACGTCACTGTCTCGCGTCGTTGGGCTACTCCTACGCCCTTTGAACCGCTCGTTTTAGACCATCTATGTGTCTTAGCGTATTGGACATTCGTCCACGTGTGCGCGGTGGGACCGGCATCTGTTGGCAATACTTTTTGGGGTCAACAGATTGACGCCGTCTATGGGAAACCATACCATAACCACGAGCAATCATGTGGTAAAAGCTTACTAAAAGGACATTTGGGCAACCCCCTCTTGAAAAGGGATTTGTTCTTGGAAGAGAACGGGAGGAAGCCCCATTACTTGGCGAAATCTGAAGTCGGACAAAGGAAAATGAGCTCCAATGAAGATACTCCCCCCAGGAGAGTAAGAGAAAACACGAACGTGCATCCTCAACCTGCTGCCCCAGCAGCTCGACAGAGACTCCACCACCACTAAAGAAGAGGTGGGATGCGTGCGACGGCACGATTATCCAGAGAAATGGCCGCCATGGCAGCTAACATGAGGGATATCGCTAGCCAAAATTTGGCTATGATGGAGCTTATGGCCCCAATGCAGGGCCAGGGAGGCTTCCCCATTTCTCCATATACCCCCCAAGGGCACTACCAGCAAGAGGATGAAGTCCAAAATCATAGAACTGCTACGCCAGACTATGGCCGAGGTGGAAGCCCCTTTGAAAGGAAAGTGGAAGATGATGTTTCCTCCAACTACGCTTCTGATTGACCCTCCGAGGTCCAAATGAGCCATGATAATTTTCCACCTCCGTATGAGCAAGACCCAAGACATAGGAGGGCAGGAAGTGTTTTCGACAGAATCAGTCCCGCCGAACCGAGGCAAAGGCAACAGCAGGCTCAATAACCTTGGACAAGGCCGCCTCTTCCACCTACGTTGCCCCAGCAGGCGGAAAGAAGGCAAGAAAATGCCCCCCGAGTTGCCCCACCTAGAAATAGGGGGCAGAGGAGAGATGAAGAGGCTAAGGATCTCCCCGGGACCTCTCACCAACAACCGGGGCACGAGACTGATAAGTACGACTCTGACGAACAGCAGAGGTCCTGTGACTTGGACGATGACGATGAGAACCTACCATTCTCAAGGGAACTAAGGAATGTCCGGGTCCCGAGCCACTATGCTATGCCAAAAATACCATAATATGACGGAAGAGGCGACCCGGAAAAGAATCTGAATGCTTATAAAACCCACATGAGCCTAAAGGAACTGCAGAGCCTTCCATTTAACACTTAGTGGAGCGACTAAAATTTGGTACAGCAGATTGCCACCTGGGAGCATTAGAAGCTGGCCCGAGTTCAAGACAACGTTCTTGAAGAGGTTCGTAGTGAGCAAAGAAGGAGAAGCCCCCATCCAACATCTCCAAGACATGAGGCAAGCACATGGGGAGTCCCTAAAGAGCTTCTTATCACGCTTCACCGACGAGATGACATACGGCGTACAAGTCAGCGATCGAGAGGCACTATCCACGCTAAGGGGAGGTCTGAACATGAATACCTTATTCTGGAGAGATGTGCAGAATCAAGACCCCACCACCTATGACGCCCTACTCGAAATGATGAGAAGGGAGATCATCAATAAAGAATTGATTGAGCATAAGAACAGGGCAAATAGAGGCCTCCCGCCTCCTCAAAGACAGAGCAATAGAGGCCTGACCTCCCACCTGATGGGCTACCAGATGAACTAGGCAGGAAATGAGAACTCTGGTCAAGCACTTGCCACCACCACTTTGAATGCGATTCCCACCTTGGCATATGAAGATGTCAATCCAATAACTGACCCCCATCAGATGGGGGCTCAGGAGATGCCCCGTAGGGGGAGAGGCCAAGGTCGAGGCTCTGGACCTAGAAATAGGTCAAACCCAAACCTCCCAGGATACTGTATACACCACAGGTCCTACGGACATAACACAGCGGATTGTAGAGACTATGCACAACGTTCCCGGCAGGAACCCATTAGAGATAGACATGATTCGTCCCATGTGAATAGGCACCCGCCTAGGCACGACATCCAGAGTGGGAGTGAGGAGGTCACTCCCGTCAAAGGGATGTATCCCCACGGTGAAGGGAGCATGATGCGGAGAGGCCCAAGGAAGGGTGTAGGCACCAAAGAAACCGGCAAGCTAGAGATGAAACCCCTATCCATGAGGTGAACACCATATTTGGAGGCCCGTATGTTGGCGGTGGAACACGAAACGCTAAAAGAAACTATGCCCGGGAGGCTAAATGCCCCCTTTTGACAAGCTACATTGTGGATAGAAGCTCCCAAAGAAACCAGGTTCCACCCATTGTATTTTCCCAGGAAGACGTCGAGGGAGTTCATTACCCCCACTGCGATGCACTTGTGGTGAGGGCTGTCATAGCCAGGAATGGGCTCAAATGAATGTTGGTTGAAAACGGCAGCTCCGTCAACATTCTATTCGGATCCGCCTTTGATAAAATGATATTGGATCATCAGCTGACGCCCACCACCACTCCATTGTACGGATTTACTGGAGATAGCATCACTCCGAGAGGAAAGATAACACTAGCAGTAGAGATGGGGGAATCCCCACGAACAATGACGAACTTCATGGAGTTTCTCATTGTTGAAAA